GACCTGTTGGAGCGGGTCCAGAGGAGGGTCACCAAAATGCTCGGGGGGCTGGAACAGCTCTGCTGCCAGGAGGGGCCGGGAGGGTCGGGGTTGTTCAGCCTGGAGAAGGCTCCGGGGAGAGCTCACGGCGGCCTTTCGGCGCTTGTAAGAAAGATGGGGACGGACTTTGGAGCAGGGCCTGCAGCGACAGGACGAGGGGTGATGGTTTTAAGCTAAAAGAGGGGAGATTCGGACTAGAAATTCTTCACGCTGAGGGTAGTGAGACGCCGGCACGGGTTGCCCAGAGAGGTGGTGGATGCCCCATCCCCAGAGACGTTCAAGGTCGGGTTGGACGGGGCTCTGAGCAACCTGATCTAGTTGAAGGCGTCCCTGCTCATGGCGGGGGGGTTGGACTAGACGACCTTTCGAGGTCCCTTCCCACCCAAACCCTTCTGTGATGCTGTAAAATACCCGATACGATAGCGGTTTCAAAACCCCCAGTTACGAGATTCAAATTCCCCCCCAACTCGCCGCTCCTGCCGCAGCGAAACGGGTAAGCGGAGCAGGGGAACGTTCCGTTGCCTCCGTTCCCCTGATCCGAAGGGCGTTAAACATCCCTGCCCTTAACGTGGGCAGCCCAGGGAAGCTTCTTCTTTGAAGTGATGGCAAACTGGAAGCCGCCTGCGCGCAGCACTTACCCCCCTTCCTCCGCAGTTCAGGCGGGCGAAGCGGGAAACCCTCAACAGCTCACGGGCTCCGACAGATTCTTCTCTTCGCTCTCTTTGCCGTTTCAGCTGTTACGTTCCTCAGTGAGAGAAGAGGTTTATAGTTCAGCAATTAACATTTACGGACAGCAGAAACACGTACTTCCCCCCACCCCCCCCCCCCCCCCCCCCCCCCCCCCCCCCGTTGTAAGCTTTAAGACCAGTCGGGCCCGTCTGATTTTCACATTTCTGAGCTTCGGAAAAGAAACTTGGGTCGTTCTAGGAAAGGCTGGACCGGGCAGCGATCGTTTCCCCTGAGCCATCATCCCTTCGGTTAGGAGCCGACCCGAACCTCGGCCAGAGGAAAAGGGTGACAAGAAAGAAAACCTTCCGCTCGCGGCTCCGGGAAGGCAGCTAGCCGGGAATACTTGGATATTCAGAGCAGCCTCCCTGCGTTTCCCTCCTCGCAGGATATTCCTACCCTCCGGCAGGTTCCCAGTATGAAACGTGACTCAGCCGGGGCTCCGGAGCGTATGGAAGCGAATCCCTGCACGCGGAGAATGCGACGTTACAGCGGCAAGAGATCCTACGCTGCGCGTGGGGATGGTTTTGTTTCCGGCCTGAATAAAAGGAAGCATCTCGTTTCTCTCAAAGGTTAATTACCTGTCGACTTCCGTCGCTTAACTACCCGGGGGAGGGATAGAACAACTTCAGAACCGTTGCCAAACCACCCTTCTCTCACAGGGAAGAATCAAGAGCATGAAAAGCAAACTAATTTGTACGCATTTTATCCAAAATTTATTGTCGGCACGGTGGGTAGGGCTACAGGGACAGTACGAAAGTCACATTGGCAGTGGACACCCGCTCGGGTCAGGCCTGGAGGGGCAGCTCTGCGGCGGCAGCCCCGCGCTCCGGGCGGCCGGCTGTGCGAGTAGTCCCATCCATCCCCCGCGTTCCCTTCGCTTAATGCTGCTTTCGTCTGAAGGAGCAGCCTAAGGAAGGGAAGGGAAAAGAAAAAAAGAAAAAAAAAATTAAATAAAAATAACCACGCAGAGCAGTCAGAAACGCTGCAGCCTCTTTACATCTCTTCTCCGCGGGGATTTCCTCGTCTCACCAGTTTTTGCCCCTGTTTTTATGAGGAAAGCACCACCCCCAGCTCTCAAAACGCCCGTAACCGAGTGGCTTTTATAATCTTCCAGCCCGGAAAAGCCGCCTCGGGTTCAAAGACGGTCGACGGGAGCTCCCCGAGAAGGCGGCGGGGGGGGGACGGGACACCCCCGGGCCTGGTACCCACCTTCTGTCAGCCTCGCCTTGCCCCCCGTGGGCTGGCACAGCACGGTCGAGCAGCCCACGCACAAAACGACGGTCTGAGCGTGGCTAAACACCGTTGTGATCTTGTAACAACCTGCCGGGAAAGGGAAAGGCTCTGAGGGGCGGCGGGGAAAGGACGACCGGGATCCGTCGCCTCGCCT